ACAAGAAGTCATCGACTTCTTTACGATGGTGAGGGGCTGACATCAGCTAGCCGTTCGTCTATTCCCCACCCCACCAAGCCCTGAGCCATGGGATGGCGACGTCAGTGGGATGCGAGGGTGAACCAGCCCGTTTACGTAAAACGGCGTGTAGCCGGTAGACGAATGCACTGTATTGTTCAGTGCAAACTTTATGACTGGCAACATGGCACTCCAGTGCCTCGGCGTCTCAGCGCAGATGCTGCAAAGAACGTCTTTGATGACGCGATTGACCATCGGTCTGCGGATGATCCGTTGTCGACATATCCAACTTGGTTCCGAGCACCTTGAAGATAGTCGACCAAAATTTCCCGTGAAACGGGGGTCTCTATCAGAGACAATCGACTCTGGGGGTCCGTGCTGTCGGAAAACGCGATCCATGAATATTGTTGCTGTACCGACTCCGTCGATGGTGTCTGGCACCGCCGCCAGATGAGCTATCTTGCTCAACCGGTCGAGGAATACCACGACACCCGTGTTGCCAGCCAAACTTTCGGCAGGCCAAACACAAAGTCCAAACCCATGAACTGCCAGCGCCCAGTGGGTACCGGTAAGCTGGCCAGCAGCGCAGCCGCATTTGGAGAGGGTTTCACCCGTTGCCACGTCTCACACGTGCACACATAGGTGATCGTCCATTTGTACAGCTTGGGTCACCAATAGTGGTGACTCACAGAGTTGTACGTTTTCTCACGATCGAGATGACCACTGAGTAGCGTGTCGTGAGCCTCATAGAGGATGCGGTATTTCAAATTATCAGCGCGAGGAACCACAATTCGTGGTGTATCCGTTGAATCGGTGTTATAATATAGCAAACCGTTATTCAACGAACATCGGTGCAATCGTGCATGCAGTCTTGACGATAAATTCTTGTCCGAGCCTCCAAAATCCTTGCTTTCGAGAGCCCGTAGCAACGCCGAACACATCCAATCACCCGCATACGCGGTTTGGATCAAGTCCGTCACAGACGACGTTACAGTTGTAACATGAGCAAGCTCATAGTCTGGTCTGCGTTTCAACGCATCAACCAAAGCTTTCTGCTTATCCGGCTTATACTTCACCTCAAAGTTACATTCCGCAAAGAAGGATAGCCATCCAGCCGTCCCCTGCAAGAGATGGGGCGGCTGAGTTGCAGCGCATAGTGACGCATGATCGGTATAGATCACAAACGGCTTGGAGCCGAGCAGGTGGACCCTAAACTTGACAAGTGCGTACTTCAGCGCAAGGGGCTCCTTGTCATGAACTGGGTAGTTCTTCTCTGCAGCTTTGAGCTGTCGAGATTCGA